GCAAAGACCAGTTACAAATCCCCCTCCACTCACCAACTCACTTCATCCTCATTATCTCCCCCAACCTCGTCTTCTTTCAATAAACAATAAGAATAACAATGAATGACTGAACCAGAACCAACGTCCGAATCTTGTCCTTACTGCCAGCAACCAATGAGGTCCACCATAGCCACGACCTGCACCTTGTATCACCTCCGAGTGGCGGTGGCTATGGCGGACTACAGGCGCCTTGCCCCAATGTTCGAAGGACAACGCAAAAGCAGATATGTCCCCTACTACTCAGACCGCCGTGCCTAACTCCTCTCTGTAGCCTTCTTGAACCAGTGCACCCCCACTGGGCCCCTCAGGGTGAAGATGCCATCCGCCATAGCCAGGTGAGTACGTCCGCCACTCTCCTCCAAGTCTCATTCTTCCTCGTCCTCCTACTGAGGCAACACAGCACGCAGCAATTCAGCGAAGCACCATGCAATGCTGCCGAGGCAACACAACTGCACAATGCCAAAAACAACTGCAAGGAACGACAGGGCAAGCAAACGAGCAGCACAGCAACGGCGCAGTGAAGCACAAGGCAACACCAACAAGGCAGCGAAACTACACGGCACACAAGCGAAGGACGTGGGAGGAACTACACACGGATAGGCAGTGGCCCAGCAGAGCAGCAAGGCACAAGGCAACACTGACACCGCAGCCACACCACGCAGATAACACAGCAGCTTGCAAAGAGCCACACGCGAAGCAAGCGGGACGGGCAGCAAGGCAGCGGCGTAGCGCAGACGAGGCAGTCCACACCTCCAACACGAAGCAAAGCGGCACATCACCTACGCACATTACGATCGAACCCCGCAGTGCGTTGGTTCCCACCATCGTTGAGCCAGGGAGGTACTCCGACGGACGTCTATCATCCACCCACAGACCATACGCACTGACATCACAGACAGAGCGTCCACCCTAAGAGTCCTGCAGGCACTCCAAACCACCAACCATCCACTATTTAGCACTTCCTAAGGGTGCTGATTGTGTGTGTGTGTGTGTGTGTGTGGCGGGGGTGGGTGAGGGGTGGGGGTTGCATGTTCCTGTAACAAGCAGGAATGAACCATTACCAGCTGCCTGACAACTGTAATGACCCACCAAAACACAGACTGAGAACACTGCTGATTTCTGGGATTTGCCGCTGGAATGAATGCCTTGCTCTAAGTCTGTGTGTGTGTGCTGCCTGCTGGTTTGCATGCCTGTCTGAGTGCTTGTCGGCCTGAGTGTGTGTGTGACCCGCAAGGGTACTTGTTGGTTGAAAGGCCCCGCAGGGCGGGTACTTACCTGTGGCCGTGACTTTGAGGGTTGCAGCGGCGAAAACACTCAAGTAGGGGKGGTAGGCCCGCGGCATTTAGAGCAGCGGGAAGCTGGTACCACTCAAGTAGTAGTAGAAGTGTCAGGTACTGGAGGCCGAGCAGAAAAAGACAAAAGTTGGCATTTTTAGAGGCCCAGTAGCGGTAGGTTAGAGGTAAGCCGGTACCAGTCCAAGTAGCCTGAGTCTAGGGCCTGTCCGGACGATAGCGGAGCCTGCAATGATGTTTCCCTCCGAAAGGGAGGAGGTACCGGTTGCTGGGAGGCCGCTCGGCCTAGGAAGTCACCGCCCAAGAGGCCCGTAGGCTGCTATATCTTCAGGAGGAGCAAGTAGCTCCTCATTTGCGGCATGCAAGGATTGGCGACATGCTGCTGGAGCCAAGCGCTGGACTTGTGAAGCGCTGCCTGGAGGAGAGGAGCAGCTGGGCGCTCAGCCTGGCTATGGCGAGCAGTCCAGCCTGAGGAGGAGGGAGAAGGGGGCGAAGGAGGAGAGTGGTGAGGTACCTACCAGGCTATGGTGGACATCATCTTCATTACCTTGTTGGGCGCTGCATCTGGAAGGCCCCAGTTGGGGTAAGGCCACAGCAAGGAAGCTCAAGGCAGAGTCAGGCATGGCGGCTTAGTGAGCAGCGGCATAGATGCTTTGGGTTGTCATTTGGACAGGAGTGCAGCGACATAGCTGCTTTGCATTGTCCTTTGCACAGGAGGGCAGAGCCCTCAGTAGTCCGCCATAGCCTAGGAAGAAGGGGGGAAGCCATAGTTGTCGTGGACCTATTGTGGTGTCAGCAGTACAAGGGAACTTCGGATATTGATTCTGGTTCATCCATTCATTGTTATTATTATTATTGGAAGAAGAATAAGATTGATGAAGTGAAGGAGGAGGAGGAAGGTGGAGAGAGAATGGGGGATTTGTCATTGGTCTTGCTGGTGTACATCTTCTTCTTCTTCTTCTTCTTCTTCTTCTTCTTCTTCTTCTTCTTCTTCTTCTTCTTCTTCGTCTTCTTTTTCGTCTTCCTTCTCTCTTCTTTGGTCTCTATCTCTTTGCAAGTACTTTCATTTCTTTCACAATTGGGTGGCATTGTCTTTCATTGTGAATTTGCACTTTGGGAATGACCGGGATCCTAACACAACCCAATAATTACATGATTGTGTTTGCTGTCCCATTTTGTTTTTGGTATCATGGGACGAAAGATCCGAAGAATGGGAGGGTCTATTGCGGTGCGAGAGAAGTCAGGACGCGGTGCTGTATTTAGATTTCACGTCCAGCTCAACCTCGATGATCCACATGAGGAAGATCCAAGCTTTACCACTCTGCAAGACTTCAAGAGCAGGCTCAGTGCTGTGAAGAGTACACAAACGTTTAAGAAGACGAGGATGGTTCTTGTTATGTGCGACTCGCTCATGCAAAGGAAAGCTTTTGCATGGATGACAAACAACATGGTCAAGGTGGAGCTGATTGATACATGGAACAGTCTTTTGGAGAGGGTTGGGCAGTACAAAAGAGGCAGAAGAGGAAAGGGCAGAATGCCAGATTTAGGTGAAAAGGGGGCTGCATGGTGGACAGTCCCTGTGAGCCGAGGAGATCAAGCTGAGGCACAGTCAATGAGTGGTTCAAATGTGCATGGTGTTATAAAAGAGGCTGTGACAAGGGATTACAAAGGAGAGGAACCAGAAGCAGATGCAGCAGGATATTCTGATGCAGAACGGTGTAGACAAGGAATGGCGCCGACAGTGAGCATCAGAGACTCTGCGCAAGGATTAACAATCTGTCCGCAAGGCAATGCTGAGTTCAACGACCAGGGCAGCTGTGAACCGGTCCATTGTCCATTAACTGACAAGGCATTGTCAGACTCTAATATCGAGCAGCAGGTGCAGGCAGTGCACTTGATCATAATGATTGATATCAACAGAGTTCCGAACGGAGAAGACTTGGAGTTGGAGGACCTGAAAGACTTACTCAAGGTGTTGGGGAGTCGTTGTGTAGAAGATGGAATGCCACACGGACAGGATTCTCCAGCAGTTGGCATTTCATCTGACAAACTATCTGCATTGCCCATATCTCACACAGAAAAAAATTCTACTAGTGAAGATTTGGGAGGTTGGACGACTACTTTGCCAACCAAGGATCGGTGTCAGATTTCAACATCTGAAATGGTACAGCAAGCTGGAAAGGATAGGTCTCAGGCGCCAAGCTCAAGTGCAGACGGAAGCGGTGCCTTGACACTCGAGATGGTGCAGCGCACCAGAATGGATCCCTTAGGAACCTCAGAAGAGTATGTCTCGAGTGAAGACTTCAAGACATTGGCCTCAAAGGCAGGGGGCTGTCCTCCTGTTACAAATGCCCAAGTTTGTTCTGTCGGAGTTGACGAAAAATTCAGTGAATGCAATACCTTCAGACGAGGCATCCCTCTTCACGATGAGACGCTTGAGAGAGATGATTTGAGAAGTGGGGATCATGATGATATGCTTGAGAGAGATGATTTGAGAAGTGGAGATAAACATAACCAATATAGACCTTGTCCAGCCCATTTGGGAAGTAGATATGAATCGCACCTGTGTGCACCTGCTCCAGCCCATTTTGGCACTGGGTATAGAGGTCACGTATGTGGCCCTTGTGGGACTCTTTCAGAAACCGAGTATGGACTCGACCCATGCGGAGGCGGTCCATCTGATTTGGAACCTATGTATGGCTATGATGAAACTTCTCCGGCTGGTGGTCCATCTCATCTACTCCTGGAAAGACCTGGTTTGGGAACTGGGTATGATACATCAGAAGCCTTAATGGAGGACGCCACGAGAACTGTACAGACTGATTCTATAATTCTTTCAACTGTGAGCAAATCAGATGCAACTTCAGTTGCACCTTTGCGTGCTGCAACTGAGGGAACCTGCAAAGAACCTGAAATTCTGGCAGAAGCTGAGTGCTGTGTTAAGTCTGTTGTTCTGATTTGGCTTGTCCCAGCGACAGCCACCACCAATGTCCGTGCAAAGATACGACAGTTCGGCAGATGGGCTTCCAGCTTGCAGCACGAGATCCCTGTGAAGTGGCACATCAAGAGCAAGCCCTTGCATTCAAGGGAGATGCTAGAGATTCTGGAAATGGCAACCGATGAGGGACCGTCAGAATCAATTGTGATGGCTGGTCAGCAGGAGATCGAAGAGGCGCTTGACATGGACAGTGCGGTTGCTGAGAAGAGCATTCACAACAAAACAGCTCCTTCTAGTGTACACGGTCGCCGGCGTCAGAGCATGGGAAGCATATTCAGGACTGGTTCTATACAGGATGATGATGTCAGTTACTTAACAAATCGTATTCGCATTCTTGATGGTTACGAGGTCGAGTATGCACCTGACAGCATGTTAGACGTGGCACTTGCTTCACCAATCTGTACCTGGCGTGACAGAGTTGGATCCTCCGAAGTGGACCGTCCGTTCATGGATGTACCCACTGACCATTTGATTACAGGCTCTTGGCAAGCAAATGCCAGTGTTACAAGATGGGACGAGAGCGCAGATGACACAAGGTCCCAGCCAGTCAGTCCTGGATTTGAACCTTCCGCTAACGATTATGACATCCGGTCAAAGAACAGCATTGACATACGGGAGATTCATGGCCCAGGGGTGGAACCCCCGGTGCCTCCGGAGCCTGGAAGTAATCCCCAAGCTCGACTGCCAAGACCTTGTAGTCCTCTGGAAAAGAGTACTGATGTGGAGGCTGCAAGTTCGAGATCTACCAATGGTTGCTTGGCGGGTGAGGAACACAGAACACGGACTAAGTATTTGGTCCTTCCATTAGGTTCTCAGAGAAGCAGGATGATTGATGTTGATGACTGGGGGATGAGTGATCCCGTGGACAGGCGTAAGTTGTATTTCGTGTGTGGTCCTTGTGAAGACACACACAAACTTCAGATTGGAAGTGTGGCAGAGGGAAGCTCGGCGAAACATGCTGGGATAACTATTTCTGTCATGTCTGAAAGAGGGAAACAATTCCCTGCAGTTGAGGGCATTTCAGCCGATGGTAACAGGAAAGAACATTATGATCCCATCAGCAAGATGCAAAGCGTTGCTGAGATGCATCCTTCTGCTCTCGCCCAGGGGGACAAAGCCAGTGGACATTTTGGAGGGATGAGCAGTTCTGAAGCACTCATGAGAAGATGTTATGGGCAAAGGGAATTCCCTATGAAAGGATCACTTACTTCTGTCTGGAAACCGAGAGCTTCTGAGGGGACTTTGCATGGCGCTCAAATGGGCTGCATCGTAGAGGAGAAGTCTGTTGCAAACAGAGAGACACAAGTGAGCTTACCATCATCAGGGATGGGGGAGGAAGGAATAGATTATCAATGGAAGCTGCCAACCTCGGATGTAGAAGATCACAGAAGACTAACGCGTGATGTCAGCCAGAGATGGTCATCGACTCCAGGACCAACTTCTGGGACAACCTTTCATCCACCTTCTCACATTGCAGAAACGCATGAAATGCAGAAGCTGGGAGATCCACACACATCTGAAGGTTTCCTCAAACGAGATGCAAACTGGGAAACACACAGGATAAGGAACAGCAAAGGCAAGGAAAGAATACTTGGTTCTCCCGATGCCGGTTTGACTTCGGGTCCAAAGGAAGATCCTGTTCCATTTCGGACTAATGTCCCTTTCGGTCCACCATCTGATCCTGCACCATCTCAATCGTGCCCTGATCCATTACATGATCCTGGACTGTTTCAATCATGTGTTGTTCCGTTACATGACCCGAGACCTAATGCATCTCAGTCTCATGTTTCTTCTGGTTCATTATCTGATCCTGGAACATCTCAGTCACATCCTGGTCCATCACATGACCGTAGACAATTCCAATTACACCCTGCTCCGCTCCGTGACCCCGGATCATCTCGATCACGCCCTGACGTCACGCACCAGGCCCGTTGTACATGTCCTCAGGAAGAGGATAGGACACTTGGTTCTGCCTGTGGCACTGCGCCTTCTGGTCCATTGCATGGTCCTGAACCACCTGAAACCATGAGCCAAGGGGGTCAAACACATCCTCATCCAGAGAAGCCCCTCAAAGGAATGGAGGTGCTGGTTGCAGAAGACACTGGACTCCTTCGCAAACTTCAAGTGGCCATGCTCCAAAGACTTGGTGCGAAAGCAATTGGTGTGGAGGATGGCAAGAAGGCAGTCGAAGCTGTCTGTGAGAGAGCTGCTGCTGGTCAAGCTATGAAAATGCAATTCGACCTCCTGCTAATGGACTGCCAGGTGTGCCTCGGTTATCATTTTCTCCCTTTGTTGAATTCAGAAGATGTCCTTCTTGACTTCTCTTTCCAAACAGAATTATGAATAAGCAGAACACGAGTCCAGCCCAGTCTCCATGCCCATGGAGAACACTGCAATGGGCCTGGAAATCGGGCTGCACTACCGTCTTCCCCAGAATAGGACGGAATTACCGTCTTCCCCTGAATAGGACGTATGGACATTACTGCCATATGTAGCGTGAAAGTTGCATGGAGATTGGGGTGCACTACCGTCTTCTCCCAAGTAGAACATATGGACATCATCGTGGTATATAGGCTGAAAGTTGCCCTGAGTACGGCTATAATGACTGTACGTCCTATTCGAGGGAGGATGGTAGTGGACTGCCAGGTATGTCTGCAATATTCACTCCTTCCAGACCCTGTGTGCTTCTGAACGTTTGTCGTTTGTCTCCCAAAATGGATGACGTGAGGGTACCCGGCGCATGTCACTAAATGGTACATGCATGTAATATCAGTAAGAAGACCATAGTTCAAGTCTGACAGAATCACATGACGATGCTATACCCCCTTTCAAGAGGTGCAGCACCTCCTCTTGTAAGTGCAGGCATCATCACCCCTGTTCACCCTCAACCAGTAGGATCAAAAATTTATGTTTGATATTTTGAAATATTATGAAATGTAAATTACATACCAACGGGCCTAGCTCAGTTGATACACCTATGAACAGTTTAAATCCAGACTCGAGTTCGAATCCAGATGCTACCAGATTAACAAAATAAAACAATTTGGAATTACCTGGGCCCAATGCATTCAGGAAGGATATCTCACGGCCGTCCAAGGCCGTCACCCTATTAAAAAACAAATTATAAAAAGAAGTACATAAGTTATAATTCGATACGTCTTGTACAAGTACAAAAAAGACAAAGTCAGTATTGGAATACAGTTCAATACACCATTTGTCTGAAACAGAGGACTGTCATTTTTTATTTTTTTATTTTTTTATTTTTTTAAAGGATGACGGCCTTGAGATATGGTCATCAAAGTTTATCAAACTGACCGGCCCTAGGTAATTCAGAGTTGTATTGTAGTACTTTAGTCATCTGCTTTCAGTGACAGGTCTGTATTTCATCAGATCAAGGGTGTATGAACTCCGCCACGCCAGCTGGTGAGAGGTCTTCTGAATGAATATAATCGAGAAGAAATCAATACAATCATGGAAAACCAATCATTTATTGAAGTCCAAACGATATGTGCATGTGATGCAAAGTCATGCAAAACTTACGATCTAACAATCAACGACCGGTGGTGCGAGGTCTGTCATTTGTTTCATATAAGAAAAAGAGCAATGGTGCGACTATCTGATGCAAATGTCATTTGTTTCATAAGAAGAAGAACAATGGCTGGACATCAGAAAACGGGCCTGTAACTCTCTGACATCATGGAGGGTCTTGTTTTCTCTGTAATGGTCGCAGATGCCAGTGTTGGATGGTTATTCGGCCACTCGAGCGATACGAGAAATGGAGCAGAAGCAGGAGACTGCAGAGCCCCATCATTTGCCGATCATTGCACTGACTGCACATGCCATGAAGTATGATGAAGACAGATGTCTTAATGCAGGCATGGATGCCTACTTGATGAAACCGATGAAAGTAGAACAATTGTTGAAAGCAATCAAAAGAGTTTGTCCTCACTTCATTTAATGTATATAACAAGAATCATGAGACCACCTCCATGGGGTTTGTCGTAAATTTTTCACTCTGCTGACTCTGCTGTTACTTGATTTAGTACAAGTTTTCATATGAAGGCAGAGCATCCACTGGTCTGTCAACTTTTGACCCGAGTGATTGTGTTTTCGTCACAGGGAGCAGGCAGTCGAGCCGAGTGCACATTGCCTGATTTCCCAGCCTTAGGCGAAGGCATGGTACTATCACTTGGTTACAGGGAGCAGGCAATCGAGCCGGGTGCACATTGCCTGATTTCCCAGCCTTGGTATTATCACATGGTGACCTTAGCATGAGTGTGGCCGTACATTTCAAACAATTTGCCGAACCTACAGGGCCCTGCTGTTCTTCAACGCCCAGGGGAGGAGAGGATGAAAAGTAGCTGTGGAATAGTAGTCGGAGTGGTTTAGACTTGCAGAGACAGCAACACCCTTGAAAAGCTTCACAAAATGGGAGATGAGAAGTAGAGTGGTCAGGGGCCAGTTTCCTATCTCAGTTGGTTTTTCATGCAAGTGGCATTCAGGAGGTTGTCGGTTCAATTCCCCAAAGCTGCCTGTGACGTGCTTGGTGTTCACCAGCTGAGATAGTTGGCTTGCCCCCTCTAGTCAGTCTTGGTAGGCTCCTAGGTTCTCTTAGAGGCCCTCACCCCTGCCATTCCTCACTGTGATTATTTCCCAGGTTTGTTGGATCTTGGCTGTTCCCTACACCCGGTAGATCAGGTTTAGTGGATCTCGAGTGTTCCCTCTACCCGGTAGATCTCAGGTGCTCGTTTCTGGTATACTTAGGCATATAGGTAGGTAGTGTGAGATATACTTGAGTGAAGAATATGGCCTACTTGTTTTTAAAAGAGGAAGTGGAGGGCTTAGGAAGATCGGACTCTTATCTCCATGCCAAACCGAGGAATAAAGTCAACATCTCTCTCTCTCTCTCTCTCTCTCTCTCTCTCTCTCTCTCTCTCTCTCTCTCTCTCTCTCTCTTTGTCTGTGTGTGTGTGTGTGTGTGTGTGTGTGTGCGTGTACGTGTTTGAGGGGGGACGCAGACTTCCACATTCACAACATGGACAGGTTGTGTCAAAAACGTATGATGCAAAGTGTTCCACCAATTTACAGAGAATTTCATTATTGTATATTTATGAGACCTATACAAACAAAAACAGAAGCTACATATGCAGAAAAGAGTAGAAAATGTAGTGCACCTAAATAGATAAATAGCAGTATTAATACGGAAGTGTTTCGAGCATCCCAAGCACAAAAGGTTCCCCACATAGGTTTTTCCCCAAAAACTTCCAGTAACTAGAGTGGAGAAGGTGAACAAAGCGCCTATTTTGGCACTCATCTTTGACAGTAAGTGAAAAATGGGCTGTCTAGTAACAAGAAACAACACACTACTAATAGCCATTCCGAAATAGCCATTCCGATGTAAACAAGTAAACTCATCCAAGCAAGTAAACACCACCAAAAAAAGAGCTTGCATCTTGCCCGAAGGGAGGAATGCAAACATGCGAAGGCCACAGTGGCTGAAGAATGAAGGATAAACGAACGGTAAGCAGTAGCACAGTAATATGAAGCACCACGGCAGCGAGGCACCAATGTAGCAGGATAGCAAGGCCAAGGGCAGTGGGGCAAACAGCAGTGTGGCAAAAGGCAGCAAAGCAACCTGGCAAACACCAAGGTTCCCCTCGCCAGACTTCCAGCAGCGCATTTGCCATAGAGCTGTGGTTTTATTGTGGACTGGGAACCCGGATCAACAACACCTTACACGAAGTTGCATGGCAAATAGTAACACAACCTAAAGGAAAGGGAGGACTAGAACTCCTAGACCCGGCACACCAAATTAAAGTACTGCAAATAAAATGGGTAATCAGGCTGACCCTCCAAGGCAACCTCCAATGGGTACCATTGACCCTCAATCACATCAGGGAGCTGGCGCCTTCCAGTCCCCCCCCCCCCAAACATGTCAGGTCTCTTTTGGATTTTCAACCAAGTGTGGCCCCTCCCAAGCAACGGTAGAAACAAGCACCATCAATCGGATCCGGAAGAGGCAAGGGATCGAGGGAACATAAAATCATTTTGGGAACAACTGATCCATACATAGGGAAAGATCAAGATTCATCCCAAAAGAAGAGACGAAGTCCTTAGACAGCCCGTATTTGGCAAAGCTAGAAAAAGGTGTATGGCAAATGCAACACCTACAGCTCAACTAAACTGATTTCCATTAAATATAATTTTATAATTTTTACGTAGGCTACTAGACTGAACAGGGGAAACTTGCCCGACCGGGTAAAAAATAATTAAAAAAACTAGGCTACCAGCCAGGCCATCTGGGTCGCCCTGTTTTCCGGGACGACCCGGTCATGCAAGAAGCAGGGAAGGTCGCCCTGTTTTCCGGGACGACCCGGTCATGCAAGGAGGAAGGGTAGATAGCGGACGGCATGACGCAACGGGCAGTTGCTATGTGGCTCCTTTTTGAAAAAAATAAAAAAWAAAAAACGCAGAGCGACAAATATTTGCGGCTTTAAAAAAAAAAAAAAAAAAAAMAATCAATCAATCAAACCAGTGGGCAGGGAGGATAAGAGAGGGTCGGGAGGATCGAGTCCACGGGTGGGGGAGTAATCAGAGGGAAGGGTGGGGCCTCTTTTTGTTTTTGATTTTTTTGATTTTTTTTCTTTTTTGAAATCGGCAGGGAAGGATTGGGGAAAAGATCGCAGGGAATGGTAGAGCAAGGATCAGGCAATGGTCGGTGGACAACGATCGGGCAAGATGAACCGGTCCCTCTCACTCACTCAATCAATCAACCAAACAGTCAAACAATCAAATTTCAGTGATTGATTGATTGATTTGATTCAGCATGGGGGATGGAAGGACCGAGGTCGAGATCGACGGTTGGGATAATCACGATCGGTTTCGCTGGGGTCCTCTTTCTGTCGCTCTCAATCAATCAATCAATCAATCAATTAATCAATTATTCAATCAATCAATCAATCAATCGATCAAATTCAATTGATTGATCCACCACGGGAGACGAAGAATCGGCTTGATTTTATTGAGCACGGGGGACGGATGAACCGGGGTCGGGATCCGCGGTTGGGATCGTCCCGATCGGGATCGCAGTGATAGGAGGCAGAGGAGATGGATGGGGAGGGTAGGTGGAGGAAACGAAGCAAGGACAGTAGGGGAAGAGGACAACTCCCTCTCTCTCTCTCTCTCTCTCAATCGATCAATTAACCAACCATGTTACCAATCAATCAACATCGATCGATTGATTGATATTAGTGGATTGATTGATTGATTGTTGGGGTCGAGGGTCAGCGCTGGGGTCGGGGAGGGTTGGCTGACTTTCGGGGAAGGGCCGAGTGACTTTTGGGGGGAGGGTTGACGGTAAGGTCCTCTCTCTCTCGCTCTCAATCAATCAATCAATCAACCAATCAGTCAATCAATCAAATTTGATTGATTGATTGATTAATTTGATTGAGCATGTGATACGAAGAGTCGACCTGATATGATTGCTTTCGCGAATGTTTTTGTTTTTTTTTGTTTTTTAATCATATGAATGAATTAATGCATGAATGAAAGAATCAATCAATCAATTGACTTATTGATTAATTGATCAATCAATCAATACATACATACAAATAAGAACAGTAAATATTAAAAAAAAAATGTTGGCGGGTCACGGAGGGTGAGGGAGGGTCCGGGAGGGTCGTCGAGCAGGGGATGCGGAGAGTCAGGAAGGACCTGAGAAGGCCGTGGAGGGACGGGGAGGATCAAGTTATGTCGGCGGGCAGGGTTCCCCCCCCCCTCACTCTCTCTCTCTCTCTCTTTGTGCTCTCTCTCTCTCTCTCTCTCTCTCCCACCAACTTTAAGCTTCCGTTTCCCTCGCCCCCACCCATTAATCCATCCATCGGTCAATCAATCAACCAGCCAACCAATCAATTAATCACTCAACCAACGAATCAATTAATCAACCAACCAACCAATCTCTCTCTCTCTCTCTCTCTCTCCCCCCCACCATCTTCAAGCTTTA